TATGGTTGGCTTGTCATGGCTCGTTATGTTGCCATAGACTTAGACTACTTGAGGACAAATTGACCTCATTTCCTTAAATTAATTGTTAAAATTGAATAATTTTAATTTGCTATTATTCCTATCTTAACGTGATTCTTGACCTGCCATTGTGTATCTGTTCCTCTCAAACCCAGCCAGTCAAAGCAGATGGCCGCTTGTCCTGAGTCTGGTTCTGCTAAAGGTTTCTTCCTCATGAGGGAGTTTTTCCTTTCCACTGTCGCCTTCATGGTTGTTCAAGCTGAGAGTCTGTGATGGCGTTAAATTCAAATCAGTCTGCTCCTCAGATGAATAATGTTAAATTATTATTTTCATATATGAATGTTTCTGTTCAGTGCCCTGAGATGACTTCTGTTGTGACTTAGCGCGATATAAATAAACCTGAATTGAATTGATTTGAATTGATATTGAAGTAAATATTGCTGTGGTAGTAGCTGAGAATCATTCACAACATGGACTTTAGCACAGCAAGATTAAACATGTTATGTTTAAAGTGACCATTCTCAAGATGATCTTAAACTCTTGCATGACAGGTGGTGGGTGATATGCATTCCCTCAAGGAATGATGGGCCTTTAATTGTTTGTTTATTGAGCAGTTGTTTGTATTTCCTGATTTCATAATCAGTGAAATTCAAAGCTCATTTTTAGAGCTGCTTCAAAATATTTACTAACTTCTTGCTTTATGGATTTGAATTCACTCAGTTTTGTCATCTGGGCTGACAGCCCAATGTGAAGGAATCTTTTCATGAGCATCCACAGATAAAATGTTTATGTTAAAGGAGCAACACGTGTGCAACTCATCATCGCCTCGACATATTTCAATATGTGCTGGTTCTTGTCTTTGAAGGCGTCCTGCAGATCTCCACGGTGGAGCGAGGGGTGGTGACGCTGCTGGGCGTGCGCAGTGGGCTCTTTGTGGCCATGAACCGCCGAGGAAAGCTGTATGGATCTGTGAGTGCACACGAAACACACCAAACGCTCAACTCACACACTTACAGATCTGATAAATGCTTTGTATTGTTCAGTTGTCATTCGCTAATGATGCACTTTGCTACAACTGTGATGTTCAGTCTTCTAATCCAACTCTTAGATGATTAACGTATTTTTCAGACTATAAGGTGCACGTTAAAGCTTTTAATTTTCTCAAAAATTGACAGTGTGCCTTATGTATTAATTCTGGTTGTGCTTACTGACCTCCAACTGATTTTATGTGGTTATTGTGAATGAGTTGAGTAAAGTTTGTCTTATCTGACTGTTCTGTTTCATTTAATGCACCTTATAATTAGGGATGCACCAATCCACTTTTTTTTTAACTTCCGATCCAATCCCGATCCCCAAATCTGGATATCGCCCAATACCGATCCCGTTCCGATAGCATCATCATTATTGATTTTATATGAGGCTGTAATTATCTCCTCTCTATAGGCAAGTACAATTTGTACAAATATATGCATGCATGTCCAAAAAGGCAAGTAAGTTTTGGATAAGTTTCAAAGTTAGAATTAAATTCTAACACAAAACATGTTTCTTTTTATTCCTAGCTTTAAAGTGGATATTAAAGTGATTCATTTAACTGACTGTTTAAAGTTATTTTATATATTTTTTTAAAATAAGGGACAGATATTATAAGAATGTTTTTTCTTCTTTCTGCACACTTTTCATTCAATGTTTTTTTTTTTGATGGTTTTGATTAATTTGTTTCTTTTAAATGAATGAATGAATTAAATAACTAAAATAAAATGTTAAATGGCTTTAAACACCTGCTAAGTTCATGGCATAAACCAACACAGACATGTTCCTGTTTTTAGTATTTTACATCGCTTTATAAAGTAGCTGTTTTTGTTTCGTTTTTTTAATTTAATTTTCTTGTAATTTTCAATTCATATGCTTTTTATGATTTTCTACTGTTGTACTGATAAAGTGAAGGATAAACGATATCTTGGCTGCAAGTATCAAGCTGAGAAATCCTTCATTTTCTACAACTGATAGCAGTTGGTCATTAATTACGATGAAGTTTAACAACTTCTCAGTAAACATTCGAGCTCCGGGGCTTCAGCAATGTCTTCTTCTTGTTCAGTCCGAAGCAGGCAGTCTGATTTTGGTCAGTCGCGCTCAGTCTGCCCCTCGTCCAAGACGGGGCAGACTGAGCGTGGCAGATTGGACGCGGCTGGCCGGGCTGCCTGTTTCGGATTGAGCGAGAGGAACAGACCGCTGAATCCATGGAGCTTGAATGTCCAAAGTAAAACTAACTTTACCGCAATTTAATGTGGTGCTATGGCTCTGCAGACATTGCACGTTGCCGTCTTGCTTTGTGGTGTTTCTAGTGTAAAATACAACACAGCGGACATGTTTCAATGAAAAGTTGGTTAGCCGTTAGCCAAAGTGCTACTGCACGTTGTAGCTGGTTGTAAACTACGAAATGGATTTCCTGAATGTGAGGCAGGTCTTATTACTCTGGGTTCATGAGACACACCTCCGTTCAGGAAATCCATTCCATAATTTGAAGCCAACGTGCAGAGCAGCTGGCAGAGAATCACATGAAGAGAAGTTTCAACAGAAACAGACATGCATCATGGATTGGAAATCTCTGCAGGTTTGATCGGAAAAAATCCGTGATGTAAATTATGCTGGTATCGGAGCGCGATACGATACCAAAATTTCGATTGGATTGAATCGGATTGGCCTCATCCCTATTTATAATCCTGTGTGCGTTATAGTCTGAAAAATACAGTATGTTGATATGTGTTGAAAAATGGCAAACCAGTCTCAAGCTTAAAAATACTAAAGGCTGTTAATAAGTTCAAGATTGAAAGAAGCAATAGGTTGGAGTTTTGAGTTTATCACTGCAAAACAGAATGGTTCAAGAAAATAAAAATCTGACCAACAAAACATTGAAAGACAGAATCCAGGGGGGCTTTTCAGGCTTTTTTGCTCCTCCATCAGTTTGAATGAGTTTATCTTGCTGTTGAGTTCTGGGCGTGAGGCTTCATGTTGCTGTTGGTTACTGTGGAAAGTTGAGAAAAGTTCACACTTGTTTAGCAGCCATGCAGCTCATCTCAGGCCTGATCTTGCAGTTTATTAGTGCAAACCACCACATTCCAGTGACAGTTCATCACATGTGTGGCTAAATAGCTACATGTTATTAAAATGTAGACACCTTTATTGTTTGATTAGAAGTATCTCTAGTTTACAGATCTGCGCAGAGCTAATGTGCGCGTGCTCAAACTTCATATCATTTTGTCATTAATTGCTCGTGTTTACACATTTTAAAATAAAGCAGTGTCCGCAGACAACATAAGTCACCTCTCAGTTGATGTTGTGGAAAAATAAAGATGGAAATATATCACTTTGTGGCTCTGAACACTGTTGTTTAAGGTAGAATTGATTAAGACAATGGAGAAATGGATTTAATCACGATTCTTTTATATCAGACAACACTGCTGTCACACATAAAATATTAAAGAAAGCTGGTTTTAAAATTGCAGATGCTTTAATAATGGCAGGGCTGCAAGTAAATTTTATTTTATACATTACTTATTACATTAACTGATTAATTATTAAATCAAAATGAATAGTTTTGGACAAAAATCAAAATTAACAATTTAGATTAGTAGTTCATTTTTAACAGCTTTCAGCTTTGATGTTTATTGTGTGGCCCCCACAAATTTAAACAAATACTTAAATAATACTTTATAATCTAGAAAAATATAAATTTAAATGCTGATACCTGTATGACAAATCAATAAAGAGAAGATCCTTTCACTTGTGTTTTTTTTT